ACTCTCCATCAGCAGATTTTCTTTTAAATTGATTTTAGAGAGGAATGGAGAGGGGTAGAGAGATAAAGATCGATTGGCTGCCTCCAGCGCGCCCCCTACTGGGGATCGAGCCTGCAGCCTGAGCATGTGCCCTGGCTGGGAATCGAGCTGGTGACCTCTTGGTTCCTGAGTCAATGCTCAACCACTGAGCCACACAAAGCAAAAGGCAAAACAACAGAAAATGTTCCCCTGTGTGAACCCTGTGATGACCCTCCATGGTCCAGGCAGCAGCTCCCAGTGGGCTCCAGGCCCCAGGTCCCCAGGTTGGTTCTATTCTAAGAACCAGCTGAGTCGGTCGTGTTCTGCCCCGGCACCCTCCTGCTCCCACAAGCACAGAGCATGCGTGGGGGTCCCCGAGGCCACAGCGCACGTGATGGGTCCAAGGCAGCAATGAGAAGTGAGCCGTTCTGTTAACCAGCCATTGGTGCACTCTGCTCAGCACATTTTGTTGTGTTTTAGATAAATATACCTATTTTTGTGAAAATTATTTCTATTAACTTGGGATGGGTTTATTATTTTTCAATGAATGCATAAATATGTGAGGCCTCCCTCCGTGTTGGGGTCCATTGCAGCAGGCGCCAGCAGAGGAAACCGCAGCCCTCGCAGTTCTCGGGGCCCCCAGTGCTTTTTTGAAGTTGGTAAAATAATTTTTGAGACCAGAGGTTTGAGAACCACAGTCAGAGGCCACGCTGAGTATGGTGGCCTCTGCGTGGGAGGCTTGGTGGGCAGAGGCATGGGCTGGACCCTTAGCCCCAGCTCCTGTTGGCTCTGTGACCAGGTCAGATTGCTCACCCTCCCCGAGCCTCAGTTTCTCACCCATGAAGTGCTGTGAGCATGTGCGAAGCTTGAGGCCAGGCTGGAAGCTTCTTTGGTAGCACTTCCTGTCCCACCCTGCTGCTCGGCCACTCTCTAACTTTCCCCATCTCTGTGCCTCGGTTTACCCTCTGTTCACTGGCCCCCTAGCCATTCACCCTCTCTGGTCTGTGAATGTTTCAGAAAACTTGTCGGGTGCGCTAAGCCTGAAGGCTGGTGGGACACGAGG